TAACCCGAGACCATTAAGCAAACTACAGAAGTAAAAATGACATACTCAAAAATGAGATGATGCTTGAATTGGCAAAACTAAATCCAATTTCTATATTGTATATGCGCTTACCTCACGTTAAGTAGCTGATTGTTGAAATAATGACAAGCACAGTGTTACAGCCGATCGAGTGAAGAGTCATGCACCTGTACTACAGCATGTGACTGGGGGAAAGTGTGCATACGTGAATGTCTCGTCACACCCCTTTGCCCACACTCCCTTTGGATTTTACTCACAGAAAGAGCAGTGACGTCAGCAAACAAAACAGTGCAAATGAAAAGCGGCTTGACTTTTAAAGAACATTTATTTTTTAGAATTCACTGCTGTAAATGGTCAGAAAAATATAGCATTTCGTCATCTTTCAAACATATACACCTGTACATACATGTACTATTTACACTGGGATGCAGGACACATGAACAAAATAAGAGAAATCTGTTTTCAGTCTCAAAATCAGACAGAATGTTTTTGACAGACTACACAAATCAAGCAGTAAAACTTTCTAAATACGCTGATGATATCTGCTTTACAATGGTCAAAGGTTAATCTGAGAACATCCTGTAACAATAAAAGTGAGGATATTCATCACAAGGCTGAAAACGTTACTTAGAAAAAACAATTACATTGATTTGAACAGCGTTTGAGAGTTGTACAGATCTGAGCTGGAGGTGTTCCTTATCTACCACACCTATTTGCACTTAAGTCTTTCATACAGTGCTCCATGACCCAAATAAGGTGTGTTGGTTTAGTGCGACACCTGTGCAAAGGGGCTCCCAGGGGCAAGACAGAAAAACACTGGATTAGAACGACACCTCTTTGCTGGAAATTGAGTTGTTTTAATGGATGCTTTGTACATGGTATTTGGATTCATAAATATGAAAACTTTGGGAGAAATGTTGTAAAATGTCAAGAAAACTCAAAATCTTAATTGTCCTAAAATACGGTCAATTTGCCTTGACTGGTTTTGTGAGATTCATCCGTCTTGACATATAGTCATGCAAATAAGTGCATGAGTTTTAGTATGCCTTATACCTGAAAAACACTTGAGCAGCCTTTCAAACCAAGAGCAGCCTTTCAACACAGAACAAAGGAGAACAAATGGAGTCATATAAATCAACTTTTTTAATTTAACAGAAACTAATTAAGAGTAATCAGAATAGTAAAAAGCACAGGTATGAGAACGTCTCATTAATTTAAATACACACACAGCATCTGCTCCCATACATTCATTCTCGGTGGTCTCTTTTAACCGTGGAGCCCCGAAAGTCCCTGCATCTGTAGCAGTAGAAAATATCAGGTACGTTGGACTTCTTAATCTTAGCGCAGGACAGATGGACCCATATGGAGCACTCGTCACATTCAATCATGGGACGTCCGGCAAAAGGCTTCCCGCAATAACACGTAATCAAATCCCATGAATCATCACCTATAATGGATAGAACAAATAAAGGATGGTTGAAAGATAAATAATGATCAGATGTTTTCTTCAGTTTACATTTATGACAGAAATGTTATTCTAGCTATATACATTAAATATACTACTAGCACGCCAAGTCTATTCAGACACTTACCAGACTCTACCATAATATCCTCATCAGTCACCAATGTGTCCGTTTCGCAAGAGCTCAGGTCTGTTTCTTGATTGGACTCCAGTTTAAGCCCCGCCTCATGCATGTGTATGGCCTGTTCTGTTAGCTCCTCCTCCTTTTGAAGCCCCTCGTTCAAAGGGCTCGTGGATGGAAAGTGTCTCTCAGCCTTTACCAATCTCTTCATTTTCTTTAGTGCTGCTTTCGATTGTTTGTGCGCTCTTGCCTCCGAGATGCTTTTTCTCGGCCCTCCTAAAGAGAAGCGTCCGAGTTTCTTCACCTTCTTCCGCTCAGCTTTACTATGCAGATGGATCTGGTTCAATCTCATCTTGTCTAAGGAGCTGTCCGACTGAAGATGGCTGAACTCTGTGCTGCTCCTGTCGGTCTCAGCTTTGTGGACCAAACTGTGAATGTTGTCGAGGCTGGAGTGTGCATCTGTCCAGCTATCCTTTACGGACCCTTCGCCCGAGAGCTCAGAAAGCTCGTGTGCACATGGAGATGAAGATGGAGACCATGAACTCTCCTGGAAACACACATCACCACAATTTGCCCTATTTATCTGCATACGATTTTGCATTGCATGGTGGAAAATAAGCTTATAAAACAGTCGTGGCTTAATATTTTTCAACAAACCATATTGGACCTGATCAATATTTCTCATTAATGAGTGAATTAATATATTGAATGATGCTGTTATTACTATATTTTTAATAAGTTTAGCCCTTTTGATTAATTCAATATATAAATAATTCAAATTTTACATGAACTACAGAAGAAAAAAAAAAACTGTGATGATAGGGGATTTAAATAAGCATAAAAAATGTTATTGGAATGTATCATTATATAATTTATAACAATCAGAGAACTGCCAGTATCATCTCTACTGAAATCAATGGATTTAAATAGATTCCTCTGAATTCATGACTGCTCCTCAGTCTAAATTTATGAAATCTACATCTACAACAAAGACATTCATTTACAACAAAACATCAAATGCATTAATTTTAGTCACATAAACTGTCACTGTCCGATGAAAAGGATGATACATTTTTTTAAGTCCCAAAAGTGTTTGTGATATGGTAAACAGGCTCAATATATTTTACAAAAGTATTTTTAATCCTCAGTTGATATCTGAATTAAAAAGTTTAAGTTCTGTAATGGTTATATCTAAAAAACGATTTAAACTTTTTGTTTAAAATTGTGTCTGTTTTGACAGATTTCCAAAGTTTGGTTTCCACACAAAAAAATAAAGCATTTATTTAAATAAATGTGTATGTATCTCTTCTGGGTCAAAACAGACCAGAATGCAATTAGGGTTAAGTATTTTAAAACACACACACAATCTACAGAGTCAGCAGCAGGTGATTATCATGAAGATGGTCAAAGTTGCCACTTAATTGCTGTACAAAAAGACTATCATTTATGACATTCAACTCACTTCTTTCTGAGGTGGAATGTACCCAGCATAGGCCAGGACAAAGCTGCAAAACTTATTGAAATCCTCTACGGTCCTCTTCCTACGCTCTGGAGGCTGGAACAAAGAAAATGTACATTAATAGTGACCAATCATAGTGATTCACAGTACGTTTACAGTGATATCTAAAGCTTTAACATCAGTCTGTCACCAATCTGACACTACTGTCAAAATGAAAATATTTTTGCCAATTACTGTCAGCGACTACAGGCAAATACTGATCTCATCCACAGCCCATCCCCCCCATGTTCGGCCACATGTGGCCTAAGCTATAAATAATAAGTAACGAGGCTGTGTCACCATTTAAAACTATTACAGATTATAACTGTGACAGCACTTACCAAAGCCTCCGTTTTACAATTCCGGACGGTGTCTGTAAAAGAAACAGAAGAAATCGTCATTACTGGCAAAACCTGTTACTGTTAAATGCTGAAACTACAACCTTAAATGAACTGTCAAGTTAGCTTTAGCCTGGGCTATTTGGATACTGTTAAAGTAACTTAAAAGTAATTTCCTTACGTGATTATTGGAATGCTACAAACGTACGAAATCGAATTCTAAACATTAAACTTTGTTGCAAATGTTCTGTGAACTCAGTTGCTCGAGTAAACATCCCACATCCGAACAGAAGCTGCTTATGCTAAAAGCTAATGAGTAGATGCAACCTTGTCAAGTCAGCAAAACAAGGAGCCAAATTGGCATCAGAACTATTCAAGTAAGTTATGCTTAGAAAATTATATGTTATGTATCTGGAGGTAGTAGAGAGGCCATGTTAGGTGTACTTAACCGAAGAGGATATCTCACTGCTAGCATGAGTAACGTTAGTTAATCCAGTCAGGATCGCTTTGTTAAATGGGTGTTTCACGAGGCTCGTTTAAAACTTCGAGTATTGGCGTGCCACTAAAATAAAATGAAAAGAGAATACGTGTATGACAACAAAAAAGCACATATTTACCTTGGTGATGATCCATAATACCCAACATGGTGGGGTAACGTTAGTACCACAAAGTTGGGTGGTTCTTGGTGTTGGCCGTTTGATTTCCTGCTAATGATCTTGTGGAGTCACTTTGAGGAAAAGCGAAATTTCTTCCAGTTGAAAATATATGCGAGTCCTGGTGCTTTTGAATTTAACAGATAACTAATAAGCTACCGCACAACCCGAAGGGAGGTATGCCATATGCTCAGAGTAGTCTCGTCAACAAAACTGTAATACTATGCAAACGACCAGATTTTTCGACGATTAGATCATGGTTCAGCTAAAATGAAGCTGGACCGTGTATTATTTCGTCCAGACCTCAATTATCGATGATGGTGGTGTTCTCTTGTCTTCGATCCTCGTTGATCACCAGCGAATTTAAGCTGATGGCTTTAGATCTAACGTACAAAACTGCTGACACCTTGATTGTATCCACAAACGCGAGGCAAAGACGAAAAATAGCAAGTTAGCTAGCAATTTTCGAATATCGAAAAATCTAAATCGAGCTTTTTGCAACTGCATTCAACAAAGTCTGGGTTACGCGCGGTCTCGACAGGAATCACCCTGTGACGCAACCACGCAAAGAGCGCCACTTTTCTGCGTGATGCATATTGATGTGAACGTAATGAATATGCATGACAGATTGTCAAACATAATCCAAAATCTGACAAAATAGACAACGCAGTTTTTATTTGTATTCATTGGTGGAATACACTGTGCCCAGACTTTGTAAATGTCAACCGTTACGATGCATGGCTGGCTTCTTGCAGTAACGTCCTTGTGTTCATACGATGAACACAGGAAATGGGGAAACTGTGGTTCGATGGGCGCCATGTTGGATCAGATGCGCTATACATTTCCACGCATAATCTCCTCTGGGGGAGCCATAATGGCGCACTTTGTTTTTGCACTGTGTACACGGACTTCCTTAATCCTGGCAGGTCAGCTGACCAATGTCGTGACAGTTTTTTCCTCGCTCCACTGCTTGGTAGGGTATTCCGAGGATTGTCGTTCAGTTCATGCTAATACAGTAAGATTCATCGTTTGCTTTTTTTATACAATTATATTTTTATTGCTATCAAACCGGGCAGTTTGCTCCTATCTCATTTTCTAACGTTACGCAGGTGAAATCTTCTCAGTTGCTGATCAGGCTTTGCTAGTAGCCATCTGTCACCTGACATCTATTGGTTCCTTACGACAGCCTGCTAGATCTCGTAATTCAGTAGTTTTGGTCGTGTGAAGGCGTTTATTTATATATTTCTTTATTTTATCTGTGGTGCGTTAAGTACAGCAGTTCAATTCATATCATTTTCATTTGACTCTCAGCAGGAATAGTTTGAATCTGAATGGATACCTGTCGGCCATAGTGGTTCTATTAGTATGAAAGTCTTTAAATTTGTCATCAGTAATTGAAATATTTACCATAACAGTAAGATTGAAACTCACATTTGCTTTCAAGTACATTGATTAAAACTGGAACAAAACAGTAGACCTTGAGGTTCTATTGAAATTGTGAAAATTGAAACGTCTTGTAATGTTGATAAGGTTTGGCATGTGTCTTGAAACACGGAAAGATATAGGTGCAATTTGAATGAATGAACTGTTTCACACTTCCTCTTTCAGGATTGCTAACACAGAGAATGGATTTTTCCAAGCTGCCTAAGATCCGAGATGAGGACCGTGAGGGTCAGTTCGGATATGTGCATGGAGTTTCAGGCCCAGGTAAAAAATAAAAACATGTTCTAAAGTCACTTTGTTACAAAATTGAACATACAGCACAACATTCCTCCCATAAGCAGTTTATTTTGACTGACAGATGTGGGTCATGAGATGGACAGGTTACAGTCTGTGTGTCTGTTCATTGCAGTGGTGACGGCCTCTAGCATGGCAGGTGCGGCTATGTATGAACTGGTGCGTGTGGGCCACAGTGAGCTGGTACAGGGACCTCAAGTGGGAGTTCTCTCCTTTTCAGAACCTGAGGGTAAGAATTATGTGTGTGTCTTTCTCTGTATAAAGTGACGTAATGCACCTAGGAATGTGAGTCATGATAGTCTATTGGTGTAATATAGTAGTAACCTGAGGGTAAGAATTATGTGTGTGTCTTTCTCTGTATAAAGTGACGTCATGCACCTAGTTTTTTGGATTTGCCACCATGGACAGTTCTGACACTTTTTCCTAGGAATGTGAGTCATGATAGTCTAGTGGTGTAATATAGTAGTATGCATGGGGCCGAGTTCAAATTCTGATATAATATGCAGTTTTAGAATAAACCAAGCAAAATTGCAGATGAACTCAATGACCAGTAATCACCCTGTATTTTCCTGTATGGAAAGCAGTAGAATTGACCTCTTGATATAGTTTGTGTTTCATGGGAAAAAGACTACCCCAAATAAAACTAGCTTTTATTTAGGGCTGGGCGATAATTCGGTAAAGATAATTATCGCGATATAATTTTCCTCGCTAAAACGATATGAAGAGTTCGATAAATGTTCGATATAACGTTTATGCGGCAAAAGCGGAACGAAACAGTGCGACTCATTTGAATCGCGCCACACAGACCGTTTATCCGCTCGGACCAATGTTCAAAATGGCCGCGCGGCGTGAGCTCACTAGAGCAGATGCGTTCATAAAGTTATACATAACAACAATATGAAAGTAAAACAGCCAGTAGCTGGCGGTAAGTTACTGTCTTTAGAATAAGATCATGGCATGGCGATGCTCGCGCTGACCAGCAAAACCTACATATTGTACAAAAGACAAGCTAAATTGAGTCACCAATACCTCTTGTATGTTTAGTTGTCTCATTTACTTTGATGAGGAAGAGGCTGCGATGTAAAGTTTGCAATGCTAGAACTGATTGTTGTGTGCGCGGGAGGCGCCGGCGCGAACACTTGGGTTACTCATATCAGCGGAAAGATGCTTTCATTTTTAAATTTTGTGCAATATAATTTTACTTGCGTTTTTAAATTTTGGTTTCAAGCTTGTTTTGTTTTTTTATCCGCGACTGCAATACATTTGGCAGGAAAATGATCCCATATGAAGCGCTTTAACTCAGCGATGAACACAAATGACTCTGTGATTTATACTAGTTTAAAGCCAAACAGGAGAAACACTGTGTGCACTGTGTCAGTCAGAAGGCTTTTCAATCTACACATCGCCATCATTTACCATGGATTTACTGTAGTAACACTCACTGCACCATGGTATTGTGGCACAAATGTGGGATATTCACGTTGAATTTTATTACAGGAGTAATGGTATATAATTATAGTATGTATTTGTGATTAAGCTATAGCATGTGTGCATTTATACTGAATGTTTTTAGACTACTGTTTTACAGGCTACCTAAAAACCATATAGTTATATTTTTACCATGGTATTGAGGTGCTATATGTGTGGTTTTA